CATCAGGTAGGCGATGCATCTTTTCAGAGATAACATCAATTCTTTCTCTTGCAATGTCCCGGAGGATTATCTTATCAGCACTAGAAAGACGACGAATAACAGACTGCTCAGTGTTATCATTTTCAATTTTCCCATTTACCATCTTCTCTGCTATGACAGCATCAGCAGTGGGCCAAGTCTCTCGTGAGCTAGCACTCGGCAGGAGACTCATGAATGTTGTCTGAGTTAAACCTGGGATCTTGAGCATTACGCGACATGTGAGGATCTGCGGGGCTAAGGACAATGAAGTCTGTAAGCTCCCTGGCTGTTGTTGTTGACGTGGGGGCAACATCTTCGACATAGGTGGTGGTTAATTTAGAACCAGATGATGTTCCCATCAATAGTCTCGATTACTCTGCAAATAAAAGCAACTCTAAGTATCCCTCATCATCCAGCAAAGATTATAATATAAACTGAGCCTCTTTCTATTAAAGTTCCTATTTTTGCTATTTTCTTTTGTAACCCTTCAAGAATTTCTTTAAAATTTAAAGCAATTAGTGGAAACAATATCGTAATTGTTCAAGATGAAGACATGATTAACAATTGAAAAAGTAATTATATTCCAATATAATTGTTCCACGTAAAACTAAGGTCATACAATTAAGCACAAAAAAAAACTACATTAAAACAGTCCGCAACCCCCCCCCCCCCCCCCAAAAAAAACCAGAAAAACATAAGGTTTTATTTATTTATCCATATTTAATCTGTGATCAGAATTCAGTTGACAAAGGATCGAAATAAAAAATTCCAAATCCATACCAATATCCAAGCACTGCTCTTTCAAAATTCGTTCCTTCAAACAACAATTCTTCTGCTCTCGTACAGTCAATTATGCGGCACAGATGGTCAAAACCCTAATCTGAGTCAACCCCAGCTAGAAAAATTCAATCAACAAAGAAAGGCTTGAGTAGTGCAGAAACATAAAAGTAATACCGCCAACCATCTTATTTCGCTAATCAAACAAGGAAGAAAACTCAAAATTAAATTAAACTCCTGAAAGAAAACCCTGTAACTTCAAAAAAGAGTAAAAATGAAAGGAAAGATAATACCATAAACACAGGCAGGTGGAGAGGTCCGATCGGAGAGATGAGATGGAACAAAGTCAGAGTACCGTACCGTTGGAGGAAATGAGGAATTTGGCCTTCTTTGATTCCAAGCGTCGTATGATGTAAGGCTGCCCGCGTTGCTTCCCGGATGTCTACTTTTAATCAAATAAAAATAAAAAAGTCAAAGTAGGAAAATAAGATATAAATATGGTACAAGGAATGTAGTAGCGTCAATTATTATGATACGGGTAAACTATATCAGATACCACTTATCTTTAGGCATTGTATCATTTATACCATTAAAGTTTTAATTTTATCAATCATGGCACTGATTTTTATTTTTGTTTCAATTATACCACTAGATCGATAAATCTTTAACATCCAGATCAAAATAACATCATTCTGTTGAGGTGTGTAAGTCAACAGACATTGTCCACGTCGGTAGTTGCCATCCACGTCATCATGCTATTAACAGTTTAATGTAATAATTAAAACGAAAATTAAAATTCAATGTTATAATTGATAAAATTAAAAGTTCAATAGTATAAATAATGTCTAAAGTTTGATGATATCTGATGTAGTTTACCCTTAAGTTATAAATTATAAATCAATTTCTTAACTTTAAGATATGCTCACTATGTCTATTAGTATTAATGTAATATTCACTTAGGATGATCATTTCATTTAAATTCGACGACTTCAATTAAATAGAATTGAATAGACTTTTTTTTTATTGTGTTTAGGATGAAATAATAATAATTTAACGTAATATTACAACTTTTTAAATATATTTAGAGATAATTATAATAATTTTTTTTTATTTTTTTCAATTAGTTATTTATTTAATTTAAATAAATTATATATATAAGCCAGGTCGGATTGAGTTGGGATCAGATTTTGGCCTAAGAAATTGAATCAAGTTTCAGCTTGAGTGAGACCCTCCTAAATCTAAATCAAATCGAGTGCAAATGGAGAGGTTTAACTTTTGGGTCGGGTTTGAGTAGGTCAAATTGACTCACCCTGACCTATGACCATCTATATATTTTGGGGTGTAAACGAACCAAACTTGAATAAACAAGACTGTGTTCGTGTTCATTAGTTTATTTTTAGTGTTTAATATCAAATGGTTGAGAGTTATCTTTGAACAAATACTATCTTACTTACCACAAATTAACTAAATTAAACAATCGGGAACACATCGGTCAAAATGTGGAATTAAACATTTTGCTTTCAAAGGTTCTTAAGCAGATTGAGAGGTTGTGTAATGCCTTTCTTTGGAAGGGCTCAAAGGGATCGGCTAGGGGTGCTCGGATAAGTTGGGAGAAGGTTTGTCGTCTAAAGTGTGAAGGTAGGCTTGGTTTGAAGAACTTCCGAATTTGGAATAGAGCTTGTATAATGCGGTGTTTATGGCTCGTTCTTATTAAAGCATGTTCTCTTTGGGTGGCTTGGATTGAAAGTTGCGTTTTAAGGGGATGCTCACTTTGCCAGATGCAAGGGAGGAGCAGCCATAGTTGTGCCTGGCGAAAACTTACGAAGCTGCGAGATGAGTTCATGATGGTTGGGGCTCCTGATGGTGAGTTTAAAGCTAAGAAAGTTTGGGATATCCTTCAGCATAAGCAGGTAAGGGTCCCTTGGTTTAAAATTATTTGGGGGATTATCGATTCCTCGACATTCTTTTATTGCTTGGTTAACAGTTTTGGACTAATTGGGAGGGGGGGGTCATTTTGACTTGTTCTGTGTTTTCTGTGATGGGGGGATTGAAACAAGGGACCATTTGTTTGTTGAGTGTGGGTTTTCGATGGCTGTGTGGGATTTGGTTGTGCAGGCTTGCCATACTAGCAGAACTGGTTCTAGTTGGGTGATATGGTTTTTTTGGGTACATGACAATGGCAAAGGGAAATCGTTGCGAGCTACAGTTATCCATTTAGTTTGGTGCATTTATATGTATCATATCTGACGAAAGAGAAATAGTAGGTATCATGGGGCTTCTCCGAGAATGGTTGATGAAACTGTCCGGTCGATCAAAGGCACTGTTGGTCTGAGGTTAAAAGGCTGTGTGAAGGTCTCCCCTCCCTCTGCTGGTTTTGCTGCTGAATGGGGGATAAGTTCAAAGGTAATTTGGTTTGGTGGGCTGTTATATTTGGTTTGTTGTTCCTTTGGAACACTTCAGTTATGTTGGGTTTTTTTGTCTTTCTATTTTTTGATTGGCTAGATGATATTGATGATTGTACAGGGATGGTTCTTTGGATAGAATAATATTTTCATTTATTCAAAAAACAAATGTGGAGTTATATCACTAGTCCTTAATTTCTTTAGGTTTCATAGTTTAAACTCCTTATCCTCATCAATATTTAAAACGTAAAAGAACAAGAGAAAAGGAGAATTGGATAAATGAGCTTATTTTGTTCATGCTCGTTTATGTAGCTTAATAAATAAAAATTATACGAATAATTCACGAATTGTTCATCGAACATCAAGTTCATTTACAACCTTATCTATACTTGCTATCACATGTAGCTCACATTACGCAAGGGCATTCCTTTCAAAGACATCATGATACTATGATTCTGGCTTTACCTTCTTGTTTGCGTTTGGGGGCTGATGAACAAAATGTCGTATAGCAACATGTTTTTATGGAAAATTTTATATTGTTGTTCATCAATTTTTTAAAAGCATGTGTGTGTTTATTCGGGCATTTTTTTTCTCCTTGATAAACATGAAAAGTTATTGATCAACACCAACATCATAACTCTGAAAATCATTCCATACATGTACCCTCCTCATCACCTCATCTTCTTGGATTTAGTTGTACAACACCCCCATTCTCTTACATCACCTGAAACCATTTGACCTACACCCTCATTAACTATATGATCATCTCATTCTCCTATTGTTAGTTCCTCAATTGCTCTTTTGCAGGAAAGGTTTAGACAGCTGCACAAGGATAGAGAAAAGAGAGAGGAGACTGAAAATCATTCCATACATGTACCCTCCTCATCACCTCATCTTCTTGGATTTAGTTGTACAACACCCCCATTCTCTTACATCACCTGAAACCATTTGACCTACCCTCATTACTATGATCATCTCATTCTCCTATTGTTAGTTCCTCAATTGCTCTTTTGCAGGAAAGGTTTAGACAGCTGCACAAGGATAGAGAAAAGAGAGAGGAGAAAGGAACACGGGTTACGACACTATGAGGTCGACGGCGGCCGCGAATTTATCATCGGGATTCATCACTCTCTCTTGGACTAAGCTCGCACGGTAGGTGAACAAGCTTGTGGCCTAGTCATACTTCAAACACATCAATGAAACTTGAGACGTCTCATGTTGATACTTCTCTTCATTTGTTAATGAGAGAGATCACAAATTTTAATATTCTAATTTCGATAATAAATTTAAATGATTATAGGTTTAGTTCTCATTTTTTATTTATATATTTTTATTTATTTTCATTTTTAATTTAATATGATTCACCAGTCAGATTATGAATTGAATCCAGGACGAGTGGAGCGTTATGTTATTGCACTACCCGTTGGGCCAAGTCTATCACTTGGTTAACTATTAACAATATATTTATTAAAAGTTATCTGTGGAAATTAAAGAAAACAAAAATAGGGTTGAATGGACTCGAACTTAAATATAATTATAATATTATCACTCTATTTAAAGAAAATAGTGTTGTATTTGGGAGTAAGAAAGATCCATTGTAAAGATTAAATATTTCTAGTAATTTACCAAATAGTGTTGCATTTCTAAAAGTAATATTACATTTAAACAAAATCATATTTCTAAAGATAATAATATTACATTTCCTCATCCAAAATACTTTTGATCAAATCAAAGTTGATGGAAATTTCAAATTTCAGCAGAGCAGAGGGACGCGAACCAAAACAAGACCTTTAGTAATTCAATGCACTTTAGTCCAAAAATCTTCCTGCCTTAAGTAACCAAACCAAACCCAGTAATATTACATCCTCAAAATCCATCGGGAGTTAATGTTTTACACCGGCGGAAGATGGTTACCATGCCATGTGCGAAATGTTTGCAGTCAATCTAAATGTTGTGTAAGAATGGTAAATCAATGGGCAAACTAATCATGCTTGTTTCTTGAATGGCTGGGTTATGTTATGCTTTAGCTTCCGATGTAGCATGAAGAAGCTCCTCTGGAGTTGCAGCCGGGTCTAAATCCCAACATCGATCAGGCAAATCACCGGATGCTCCTTCAAGTAACCAAGCTGGAACCTGGTGTGAAAGCCGAAACATCTCTTTCCTCGGGATCCATCTAACTGCATCCTTGTCTGTGTTTCTCTGATACACCGTCTTGAAACCAATCAATTTGATGAGGGGAGTAACCCAAACTCCAAGTTCTTCGGAGTAATCCTCAAGCACCTCCACCATCTCATATTGGTGCCTCACATCGGCCGGTGTTGACCTGTTCCAATCAGGTGACCAATTCCGATAAACAGCCCATACATCTCCTTTTTTCGGGAATATGCGAATGCAACCTCCCCTTCCAGCCTTTTGTCCTCTCAGAAGATGAGAGAAAATGTTTACTTGATCAATAATGTCGGAACTCCATGCCCTGAAGTGTCCACAAGATTTAGTAAACCCAGAGTCCACCCAATTCACTGACCCGAATTCATTATCAGTTTTGCAGTTCAGGTAAGTGATGTGAATCTTGAAAGGTTTTTCGGAGATAACCTGGCGAATCAAACAATACAAACGAGGCATTCCGTCGTCTTCGTCATAAAGGGCCCATATTTGCTTTGGTTTGAAGCATTCCTCTGATCTATCTTTGTCGAAATCATGAAAGTCGGGGTCAGGAACTGTAATTGAGACAGATGCACCTTTATTTGATTCTGATTGATAAGCAGAAACAACTAAATTTGTCCTCTTGAGACCCTTTCCAGCTGCTAGTGATTGACCATCTTCTTTAGCGCCTAATTTTACTACTGAAGCTGTAGCTGCCTCCGAAGAGAACTTAATCTCTTCCAATTTCTTCCGTATTTCAGTCCTCGACTTGTCAATTAACAATTTTCTGACATCAAATGCCGGTGTCAATAAGCACCGCCTATTATGGGGTTCACTGAGGCTGGAAAGCTTTGGATAAGGTTCATTCCCGATTCCATTTGCTAATCCTGCTTCTGAAGATTTTAATCCCTTGTCTTCAAATCCATTTCTATATTCGAGATCATTAATAACCTTCCTTTTCTTTTCAACATTACTGGGCTTAGATCCAAAAGATTCATCATAGCCATTGAACAAACTTGGAGTTGACTGAGTGGCAAAGCTTTTCGAGGGTTTTCCATTGGCACCGGATTTCACCTTCGAGCCTGCTACTCTAGCATCTCCATTGCTCTGATAAATGGCATCAGTGGAAACAGCTGATACTTTATTATGACTCACAACCGCGGTAGAAGTTCCAGAGAACGAGCTCCATTGAATGTTAGGAACATACTCGTAGCCATGGCCAGAATGATAACCTGAGACCCCATTTCCAGTAAAAAAAGTAGCATTTGTTGGGACATATGTGACCCCATTTCCATGACTTTCATATCCATTACTTGGCATATATGACCAAGGACAATACGGGAAAGAACCGTTCACAGGGGCTGATCCAGTTTCAACAGCAATGAACGTACCACGGCAGTTCTTACATGAAAGTCTCTTATTCACGTATTTCCGAAGATATTCATACTGAATTTTACAAGATGTGCATACAGTCCAAAAAGTATCAAGTCTACTTTGTGAGGTTGCATTAACACATGTTACCCCAGCAGCATATGTTGAAGTTTGAACCACTCCCGAAGGCATCTGTTTGTTTCTCTTGATATCATGCGAACTTTTCTTGATTCTATCAGACAGAAAAGTCCACGCTACGGATACGAGTTTGAATGCCCCATCGGCTCCCACACATTTATTCTTATCAGGATGGAGTAACACTGCCAACTTTCTGTACTGTTTCTTCACAGCTTCTCTATCTGTTGTAGGCTTCAACCCAAGAATTGAATAATAATCGGTTTCGCCATTACACTTAGCCTCAGAGGCAGCATGCACTTCGAATGTGGATACCATCTGTGATATACCTTCCAATCCAGGATACAGTGATTTAGCCTTTAAGGCATAGGTCTTAGCACCAGCAAAGTCTCTTTCACAAAATCGCTTCTCCGCGATCTCTTTTGCCTTAAGGGCCCTCTTTGTTCGATTCCATTCAAAAAATTTAGGCAAATTTCAAAACCAAACTCTCAAACAAAAGTTGTCATATGCCTCCCAATATGCTTAACTTTTAAGACTGAACTGACATATTCAACCATATCATCTTTTCTGCATACGGTCAACAGGAAAGCAGTTAGTTCTTTCCCAAAATCAAGCTTCGTTTTTCTAAGTAAAATACTAATACATTAATTCATGCAATTTTTAAAAACCCTTAATTAATAATAACTACTAATCCTTGGATTCAAAATAACTCTTTCTGCTGTATTTGATTTCGGAAAACCCACAGAAAGACAAGAGAAATGTGATATTTTGAGCTAAATCTATCAAAATTAACCACATCCAAGCATTATTAGGTTATAACTTATTTTAGAACCAAAAACATGTAAACCTTGCGGGTTAATTTCCTTTCTTTTCTCATCATTTCCTCAATTAAAAGAAACCCATTTGAACAAAAAAAAAAGCAGCTAAATTGCAGAACTAGAAAACCTAGATCACAGTAATTTCAAAGCTAAATGACAAAAAAGTAAACGGATCCAAGTTCAACAGATCAAAAATACTTAAATTCAAGTAGTCCGATCCATAGTTTCTACAAAATAGTCAAAGGTTTCTAAAAATTTGAAGTGTTTACAAGTAAACATTTCCCCATGAACTATACTAGGGAAGAAAATGAACTCACCTAGATTTGAGAAGTGAAGCAAGATCCAGATCGCCACGTGCCCTTTACAGCTTGCAAAAATCAAGATTTTGACCTAAGTTCTGGATCTCAGTACGGATAAAAGGGAAACAAAAAAATCAGATTTGTTTTTCTATTTTTGTGTTGAAGGGTGTACACTGAACTGAGTGAAGCAACAAATTAGGGATTCAGATAAGGGATTTTGAGAATTAAATCGGCGGCGGGGAATAGGGATTCCGTCGATCGCCGATCAGCAAAATGGGATGGGGTAGAATTAATATTATTATTAATAAAATAAAAACGATAATTTTCATGAAAAGTAAACGATGTTAATAGTATTTAATGGGTGTGTGATATTACAGTCTGTATTTTTTATATTCTTTAATATAAAATTATATTTTTATTAAAGAAAAAGACATAATTAAAGTTTTGCAATAATTGTAATTAATAATGGAAATTACTATTTATTTATATTTTCATGTAAAAAGCAATTTTAAATTTTATTAAATAAAAAATATTATTAAGTTTTGTAATAATAACAATATAAAAAATTTATTAAGAAAGTACTTGATCGTGTAAGAGATTTTTTAATTGAAATATCACTTAACAAAAATTATTTTTAGAACTAACATTCGTTTTAAATTATATTTGAATTGATAATTTTCGTGTCACTGATAATTTTCAAAGGTAAAAATATGTCACATTAGGCATACCTTTGAAAAATTGTCTTAAAGGCTGCTTATATAAATAAATATGTCACATTAAATGAATTAGCTAAAGAAAAATAAATAAATATAGAGCCTTATTTAATTTCCAATAATCGCATTATATATTAATTATATTAAGATATGACATAAATCAATTTTTAACTTCATTTTATTTATTTATTATATCAATAAAAAATTACAAGATGAAAGTAAGTAGGAAAAGGCCACGATTAATCAAACGTTGAGGGGCTTGCAAAGGAACATTAGAGACGACGGTGTGGATTCCACCGCCACCCTGCCTCCGTTGCTATTAATCCCGTCACGCCGCCGAGTCTCCCGTAGCAATCAACGCAAAAATCTGCCCTTTTTGGTCTAAACATACATAAAAGCTTACACTACAGATTTCACTAAGAAGTGTTGCATACCAAAGTTCATGATGCATTTATTCTGTTTTTAGTGATACATCTGTTGGAGTTCATCTTTGTACTTTGCCTTGATCTGCTCCCTCTTTATTTTGAGAGCAGCTGTGACCAACCCCGACTCAGGTGTCCATGGATCCGCCACCAGTTTAATCTTTGCAGGCACTTCAAATTTGTCCAGTTTTGCATCCTTTGCCACCTGCACTTGCACAAATACCTCCCATTGGTGACCACCTATAGCTATAATACCTCCTTGCTTTTCATATTCATTAAATATATCCACCCCCGACACTAATATCCGATACCCTATTATGCATAAAAACTTTGAAAATTCGATAAAAAACATACATCGAAAACTGGATAATATATGCAGGACATGTGCGCATTATTAATAACCTTGTGGTCCTGATGAGAAGATCAAATTGTGTATAATGATAAAGACTTCCTAAAAGTGTTTAATTTCTGATTTCAAACTTAGAAGGAAAATGAACCGACCTTTGAAAGGGATTTTTGGACCTCACCAACAGTCTCAGCTTTGTCACACAGTTCTGGGAAATTTTTGTACTCTATACCAGCTTCTTCAGCCCACTTCTCAAGAACCTCTCGTGACGGAACAATCAAGGCCACACAATAGCTGTGAAAGGGATCCGCATGTACCATCAAATTGTCAACATATTTGCTGGACATCAATGCTGCCTCAACCTGCAATCAGCATTTCAAAAAAATTAAGCATCCGATCCTGTATCCACAAATAAGTATTGGGATTAATTTTATAATCACCTTTCCGAGAGAGATATACTCTCCATGTTGAAGTTTAACAATGTCCTTTTTCCTATCAATAATCTCAAGGGATCCATCAGGATGAAATTGTCCGACATCTCCGGTGTAAAACCAGCGCATGCCCCTCTCATCAACCTGCAGGTTTTGTGAAAACGAATCATAGTTGGTATTAATTGATACTTGCAGACCATGAGACTTAGTTGCATGTATACGCAAAACTACTTGCCCACTACAAATACAAAGCACGAACTCCACCTTGTAAACTTCATCAGTTTTCTCAGGATTGTTGAAATAGCCAGTAGTTACACTAAATCCCCCAACAACAATCTCTCCTCGAGGCATCGGTTTGTCGGATATTGAATACCCACCTTCTTCCCAGTTAACAAGCTGCAAAAGTAATTCAATTATAAAAGTTTACATTATAAATCTAGAATAAATACCGGCATGACTCTCTAGTACTTTCATCATTTCTTTTCATTACAAAATACTCCCAAGGATTCGAGGGCTTAAGGTACAAGCAGAATGTTCTCGCAGCAATAAACACTTGTATAACACGTCTTCAGAAAACAAACAAAACTGTAAGTGAAAGCTTACTCGATTCTCTTATGTTATGTGGATACCTTAATGTAACAACAAGGAACGGGTGGACCAACTCGGCCCACAGTTGTCTCATCCCACTCGGTAAAAGCAGATCCAGCACATGTTTCTGTCAAGCCATATCCTTGAGATACGGGGGCTCTAGTGAAGAAATAAGACATGAAAATAGAATTTTACTAAGAAAACTAACATTAGATTATTTAAGCAATTTACAAGACCAAAGTCAATGTGAGAAAACTAATTTATCGATAATATTTTATGAACCAACTGGTTGGAATCAGCACCAAAAGAAATGAGAGAGACTAATTTTTATCGAACTATATGGTAAGTCAGGGGAAGAGAATAATTACCCCATGCAAATGTTGATGAAGCGTTGGGAATTTCCAGACAAAGGAGCTCCACCAGAGAGTATGAGTCGAATGTGACCTCCAAGTGCAGCACGTACCTTTTTAAAAACCATAACATCCCAAAACCATTTCTCAAGTCCCCAAGCACCAAACCAGCTTCCTTCTATAGCTTGCAGTCGCCGTTTATAAGCAATATCAAAAAGTTTCTTTGCTAATCCTCCGGTACCCTCGACCTACATAAAATAGGACCAATTAGTAAAAGGGTAGTTCATTGCTATCCCCTATATGAAACTTAACATAGCATGAATGCCTGCTTAACATGTACAAGAATTAGCAAAGAGCAAGGAATATCTAAAGGAAAAGGCAGGGTCTTCACTGAACAATAGTATAAACTATGTTTTGACCCTTCATCTTTTTCACTTGGCCCTCTATAAAATTTGTATTTTGACAATTTATTGACATTTTCAGTTTAGTCTCATTCATTATTGTCCTGTTGTTATTTTGGTGTAATTAGACCTTTTTTTGCGAGTCTTTAATTCTTATTAAATATTTTTTAATTTTTACATATGCAATATCAATTATTAATATATAATTAGATCTGGTCTATTGATATTTTAGGTCCATTGCTATTTTGAGCTCTACATATACAATATCAACCACTAGGATTGCTAAAAAAATCGACCCCTAAATACAATTCCAGCCATTTCCCCTACAAGAAAGTCAAACCAGCACGTACCTTTTTCAGAACTCCATCCCGAATACGATCCAAAATAGCAGGAACGGCTGCCATGAGAGTGGGTTTCAGTACAGAAGCATCTCCCTTGGTCCCTCTCATGATTTTACTAGAAGTATCTGTTAGTGTCAAAGCTGAACCATAGCCAATTGCAGTACCTGCACCCAGCATCACCGACTGCAGAACATACAAACCATAAGAATAATCTTGATGCCATTTATAGGAAACAAAAACTGGATATGAACCTACCTCAGCTGCCAGTTCCAAAACATGAGCTAAGGGCAAATATGCCAAGTATACATCATTTGTTCCTATTCCTCTGATAATAGTCATAACCGCTGCAGCAATGGCTACAATGTTCCCATGAGTTATCATGACACCCTAACTCATTAAAAAGTACATCAGGTTAGCCTTTATAAACAAATAACAACCAGGGAACAAGCAGTTTCTTAGTTGTACAAGACGATTTATCAGGAGAATATAATTTCTTAGTCATAATTCGAATAATGGTATGTAGACATGTAAATTATATTAGAACTGTGTTCATTTTATTCCTCTTCACTTTCAAGTAAGTCATATAAAGATATACAAACCCTATATTGTCTTTCAGCATGCAATACTATATAAGGGTAAATCCACAGATTCTGGCCATTCCAACCTAGGCCAATTAGCAAATTTGCTAGCATTGTGCTAGGTGGGTACCTAAGCTTGCACAAATAAACAAAATACTGCACATGAAAAATAAGGAACTAAATTTAGTAGTGAACCTTTGGCAGACCCGTACTGCCGCTTGTATACATTATAACAGCTACACTATCCTTAGAGGGTGGACTAGGAGGAACAGGTGCTCTTTCTCCAAGCAATTCAATTTCATGAAAAGAAGAAACATTCCAGCCATCCATGCTTCCAAGTAAACCAGAAATATTTGCATTCTCATCATCTTCGAAGTAGATGATATTTGTGATCGTTTTCAGGCTTGGATGTATTGCAACCAACTTTTTTAACAGCTTCGATTCACAGATCAAGGTTGATACCTGGGTCTGTCATAATTTTAAAACATTGAATGAGGACAAAAGAAAGACAAAAGTGGGGAAGAAGACAATATTGTAACCATATAATCACATTGTACATTCAATAAACCATTTCTGGCTGAATAATTTAGGGTCAGAAAATAAACAAACGTGATAAATTTCTCACCTCATTCAGCGAATGGATCAAGGCATCTTCACCTAGTGAAGCATAAATAGTGACAACTGTTATATTCTGCCTGAGGCAACCCTGGAAGTCAAGAAAGAAATATGCCATTGCATCAAAAACTTCAATTGGAAAAAAGTGTGAAATTGAAGGATCATAGCAATACCTGAAAGGCAATTTGCCACTCTGCTCGAGTTTCAGAAAAAATTGCAACACGAGTATCAACATTATGACCAAAATTTACAAGCCCGGATGAAAAATGGCAGGCACGTTGATAAACCTGTCCATAGGTTTGCCATTCATAATCCCCTAGGTGTAGCTTCTCAAACTTCCTTCCATCACTAGCAGTAACAAAGTCCTTCTTAATTACTTTTCTTGTTCCCAAACATGGATTTTGTGAATACTTCTTACAACATTGCTCGAAAAGTGCAGCTATTGTATTGGCCCCTTCCCAAGGAAACTGAACCAACTGAGGAATTCGAGCATTGCGCACAGCATAACC